GGTATATCGCAAAAATTCGGATACATAGCCTATATTCTTTTTGTTGATGGACAATCTGTATGTTGTCTGAATGTTTACTTTTTTGATGATTAAGAAGTATGGAACATCTGTTTGAAAAAAAAAATATTCAAATAAAACGTAATTTTACAGATTTCCACTCCCATTTTTATTATATTTAGACTATTAAATTTATAACCAAGTAAAAATTATAATAAAGTTCATCCTTTAAAAGTCTTTAGTTTGTACAATTGTTTATTTTTTCACTTAGAATTACATTCTAAATTCAAAAATAAATATTGAGGTCCATGGGCCCACTCGATTGGGACCCTTCTTATTCCAGAATAACCATTCTGTCTGCTCGATTATTTTGTAGGGTAGTCTTAGAAGGCCTTCTCAGCCTTCCACATCAAAGATAGAAGGATAGCATTCTAATATGGCATCCGACGGGTGGGTGAAAACTTTGGGGACTTTAATTATTGTAAATAAACCAAACTTAAAACAAATTCAATTGCAAAAAAGTACTTTTATAATTTATGAAGGGTAATTCTGTTAAGAAACATTTTTTTGTTATGTTATTGCAGTAAAATCAACCATCGAACACAGATTCATAATTTACCATGTAATATGGGGTGAAAATTTCAGCCATAGATAGGTCCCTGATGTGACTATAATTATTTTAATTTTTTTTTATACATGTAGTTTAATATTATTCTGTCTCAGGTATTTGATGTTTTAACCTTTCTTTACATAAATAGAAAGTTCCCAAAATTATCATATTTAATAAATTTTTTCCACTCCTAATTGTCTCTTCAAGTTTCCCTTTCTAACATTTAATGCTTTAAATTAAAGGATTCAAATTCTTGAAAAATAACTACTGCAGTAATTCAAAACATTGCAGAAGATATTCCATCATATTCAGTATCCTTCTGAACACTCGATTTAGACATACATATTCCAACCCTTCTGACATTCCACTCTGCTTCTAGAAGGGTCCCAATCGAGTGGGCCCATGGGGTCTACAAGTTTCCATATGTTTACCCATGCCGCGATACAATGGGACTCTCCAATTTAGAAGATAAATAAGACTGCCTATTTTAAAAATAGACCTCAAATTAAACGATGCAAGATTGGAAAATAATGACAGTTCACGCGTGACGTACTGAGACTTTCGCTTGAAATTTAGAACAACTTAATAAAGCAAATGTCGGTGTTTATAAATGATTGTGCTGAATTGTATCACAAAAACATCGATAAAATAAAACCATTTCAAGTGTTATTTTTACGCAAACAGCGATATTTGTGCTTAAAATAAGGGAATTCTTAAAAGATCCCCTCTTATAGAACCTAAATTCTCATTGGCTGTCCCAAAATACAATCGATCAAGGTCAGTAAACATGGCGGATAAATTCAAGTTATGATGTTGACATACACGAAAAATAACCGATTTATAGATAGTTCTGTATATTTATGGATTGATTTATGTCTAGGAGAACTACATTTTTGGAGTCCAGGTAAGAAATGTTTATAAAATAGCCATTTACTGAAATATCAACGTATACATTTTTTCTATAGAAATCATGGAAATTATAAATTTACGTCATTTTCGTGACCTCATTTCAAACATATGACGTCATTGTTTGTGAAAACATTCAGTGCTTTGAAGTCAGCATATATCCCCCTGTTTTAGAACATAATAATTATCAAACATTTCTCCGTCAAAGTTTGATTTGGCGGCAAATATTTGTTATTACCGAATAAAGTCCTTTGGAAATTCAAACATATGGGTTGACAACTTATGTTAGACATAACTATAGGCTAAACCGATTGGTCACTGGGAAAATGACTGTAGTATTGGCCCTGAAAGTTTTCGCTGTTTACGGAAATTTCATTAAAAAAAATACTTTTGCGTAGAGATATGCGACCAAGTGAAATGGATTCTTACTCAATATTCATTTTTACTTGAAAACTCCCCCCTGAAATTTTGCTTAGTTATTAAATACCTATTCTGAACTAAGTAAAAGTGACCCTGGACCCCCTAGAAAACACTGACCCCTCCTCGAAACCGTGGAACTGTGTTGAGTTGGCCAATACAGCACAGGTGCTTGTTTCACTTAAATTCATACACTACACTGAGTACGCTAGATTTCTATTTGTTTTAAATAGTAGAAAAAGCGTACTGTATGAAACAAGCGCCTGTGTTACACAGCTGCTAAATTCTAGAAATTTATTAGAACATTTGCTTAAAAAGTAGACCTACTTTCCAAATGGTAGTTGTTCATTGTCTTTACGTGGTCTATTCATCCTCTTTTGAAACTCGTCTGCTATGTACAATATTTGTTCAATATTGAACCCGATGTTATTTGTGTGACTAATATATCACCAACCCCCCAACTCCGTCACTACCCGAACTCCGTCACTTTCGGAAAACTCCGCTCTGTTTGTAAACGAATGCGATAATGACGTCATTTTTTGCATGCTGAAAATCTACAATCAGATTCAAAAGTTCGCGAACCATCTCTACATTTACAAAACTACAATTCAGATCACTTTTTGAGAATAAAAGATCGCCAACTTACAGTTAGAAAAATAGCTGAAAATCTTAATAACTGGGGGTCACGGCCATTTTTAGACGACATTGATCTCCTTTAGAAGAAGAGCTCCATATGAAGATTTATATTCAAAAATGGTCAAATTAAAGTAGGATTCCTCTCACACAAAACTGTATTTCTTGTATAATTAAAAATTAATGTATTTTCCACAGAATCAAGATGACAATATTATTAAGTGGTGGTATCAGTTAGATTAGTTTTGACCGTTTTATATTAAAGTCAAGGTCACATCAAGGTCATTACCTTTTCCGTGGACATTAAGAATGAAAAAATACTGCATCCAATCATGCAATACGGTCCTCCGTTTCAAAAAATTAAATGTTTTTTTTTTTTTTTTTGCATAAAAAGATGTTACCATATAGCGTCTATAAGATGATATTACCAAATTGACACAAACAGTTTAACAAAAATAGATTTTGACTAATCCGAATTTTCTCTATTTTTCTTAACTTTTTAGGAGATATTAGTTATTTTTATATGTATCCTATATTTAATTTCTTCTAATCTTAACATATGGTAAAGAAGTCATGCAGAGATACGGAATGATACAAAAACTAAAAGTTTTGACCGTTTACTAAGAGAGTAAAAATACTTTCTATGGATTTTTGGCTCATATCTGTACTTAGATTGGAAGCTTCTAAAAGCTAATATAATTGTAGTTTGTTTGGAAAATCATATTTATTTGATATACTTTAAATCTTTAGTCCCTTATCATTAATTTAACAAACATTTGAAAAATTCTTCTCGTCTTTGATTGTGTAAAAATTATGACTAAATTCATTGTTCTACAATAATTTTGAGAATCGGAAAAGAAGATATTTTCATAGGCCATCATTCCGCCAAAAATATAGTGCCTGCTTTATTTTAAATTCAGTTTACCATATCTATTTAAAGTTTTACAATTGTGATGAGAAAAGAAAAAGATGTTCTTTTAAATCTCTTACATCTAAATATATAAGAGATATAAGCAAATATACAATGAATATACTCTCTCTTACATCCGGTTTTCGGACACATTATTTGTACAGAAGTTTACGCATTCAAAGTGCTAACAATCACTGATCTGGAATTTTACATCTGACGATTTTAATTTTTACGGACATGTTCAATTCGTAAAATATTAACGCGTAAAAATTTAAATCACCCTTTTTTGACTAAAATTCGTAAAAATTTACAGCAGTGAAAATTACCCGTTATACGGTATTTCATCTAGTCAGTAACCAGAGCAGAATCCTACCTTAAAACTAAAATGTGTAAATTAAAAAAAATGTCTTGCCAAATGATAGTTGACAGCTTAAGATATCATATATAAAATATGAAGTTAAATCTGATGTTTAATTTGTTTACCCCCCCCCCCTCCTCTCCTTAAAACGAAACATGAAAAAAGGAGGCAACCATACTTTATTCACATTGAATAAAAGACGCTCCCAAGACAGTGGACTCATGTCATGATGGTCACCATGCTCATTGTGAAAAAGGATATCCTTGTCCATTTTCCCCTGCATGTTACAAATACGATTGCCGAGGTATGGCCATTTTTTTTAAAATAAAAACTTTCACACATATTACAAGCATATGTACAAACTTCTGTATGAATTTATGTACAAGCAGAATCAGACAAGACTAATTATAGTTGAAACTTATACAAAATTAGTGTGAAAGTTTATTAAGAAAGAGAGAGAGGGGGGAGATTTAGCCATTTCTGAGAGATGGACTTTTTTGTTTTAAAAATAAATAACTTTCATAGTAGGAAATTTTTTTCAGCTTCTGTGACAGACCGCTACGGGGTACCGCCTAGATCACGCGATTCGCGCATGGGCAGAACGGTTGCAGATGCGCGTTAAACACGGCTAAAATCAGAGAGGACTCCTTTAAAATAATTCAACACTGAAAACCTATATCATTTCTTTTATGGAAGTTTTTTTTAATTAATTCACGAACTTTTTAATCAGTCCTCGTTCACTTACATTCAGTTGACTTTATTATACTAGCACAAGGTCCACAAGGTCAGCACTGTGATGATTCCGTAAAGACTGCAAAAAAAAAAAAATAATAATAATAATAAAATAAAATATATCATAAAAAAGACAATATATGTACTCCTTTAAAAACAACAACTTGTATACATCTCATATACTGGATGATCTTAAATAAATTAAATACTATTTTTATTAAGTTAAACATGAAAATAAAAACATATATGAATTTTATTTGCAAGCATGTTAATGCTTCTTATCTCCATATGTTTCATTAATAAGAACTTACCTACACTTATATTGCACTGCACTACAATGTAATGTCAATTAAAGATTTATATGTCCAATTCTGTTTTACATGATTTTTTTTACTGAATTTATATAATTGAAACAAACACTTTTTTTTTTATTTTATTTTATTTTTAAAAAGTTTGGGACAGACTGGATGCCCTTAAATAAAGATATCATTGCATTGCAATGCATCTCATTGTAATTGCTTGACTACTTAAAAACATTGCTTGTCTACTTAAAAACATATTTGGTCTATTTTTATGAAGTTAAACATGAAATTAAAAATGTATATGAATTTTCCTGTCTGACTGACGAGTGAACATTTTGAGACTCAATCCAACAAAGCGCCCATTGTAGAACAATCAAAGGCGCTTTTCAGTACTGCATGCTTAGCCAGATAAGCAGTACTTGTTTCACGAGATCAACTCACACTACTTGCAAGATCAAACTTATCATGAATGAGTGACTCTCTAGTCTTACATAGTATACAAGGTTATTATTCGTTAGTATTGCCTGAACATTTGCATAATCGTTTTGTCTACGTTGTTCAAAGGGGCATCATTTGATTATCTAACTTTGTAAGAAACTTGCATTATGCAAATTTGGCAACATACATTCAGCCGCAAGAGAAAATTATATATAAAGGGTGACTTTGGAGGGTGGATGGTGGGGAATGTATTTGAACTACTGATTAGTTGTGCATGTTGTGATACAAGTATGACTGCATCACACTGCACTCTGATGCATTACAGTGCAACACATTGTAGTGTCTAGCAAATTATCCAATCAAAATAAACTTATTCAATTTCTTGCAATTGAATGAAAAATATGATTAAAAACCTTTTTTTTTAATTTAGTGTTTTGAAAAGAAAAAGTTTTTTTTAAAAACAAACTGGATGAACTATTTTATTCACATTTTAATGAAATATAACTGTTCTGTATCATATATATCTCAATTAACAATCCAACAATTATGTCGGAGGACTTTTTCGACATTACGTATTGAATTTTTTTTTTTTATCAAAGGACTTAAATTTGGGTATGTGCAAAACTCCCTTAAGAAATTATCAATCTTCTCTGACTGATTAGCTTTTTCTCTTATTTGCGACAGAATAAATTTATCTTATCTTAATAAAAATAAAAATTTAACTACACTTTATTGTAATGCACTTGCAGTGCAAATTTTAAGTTTATTTTGTGTTTAGAAAAAAAAGTTGGATTGACTTTACTTGATTAAAATTTTCTTAATATACAGTGGTTCTCTTTCATATGATTTTGAATTAACAATCCAGTAATGATGACAAAGGACTTGTTGACACAGTTACGTATTGATCTTTTTTTTCTTTTTGAAATCAAACGACTTGTTTGCGTTTGCGAAAAATATACTGCACTCTTCTGCAAAACAATGCTTAACATTGTAGTGCCTGGCAAATTATCCAGTCAAAATGAACTTAGTTGTTTTGTTGAAAAAAAAGTTATTCTTTAAATCAGTGTTTTAAAAACAAAAAAAAGTTTATAAAAAAAAAAAAAAGAACAGACTGGATGAAATATTTTATTCATATTTAATTAATAATTATATGACTGTTCTCTTTCATACAGATCTCAATTAACACTCCAGCACTTATGGCGGAGGACTTTTTCGACAAAGTTACATTTTTATCGAACGACTAATTTGGGTAAGCGAAAATATTCTGAAGAAATGAACACTCCTCTTTGACTGGTGAGTATTTTTTTTTTATTTGCAAGCATATTAATGCTTCTTATCTCCATATATTTCATTAATAAGTATTTCCCTACACTTATATTGCACTGCACTACAATGTAATGTCTGTCAATATTTGCAAGCATATTTATGCTTCTTATCTCCACATGTTTCATTAATAAGTATTTACCTACACTTATATTGCACTGCACTATAATGTAATGTCAATCAAAGATTAAAATGTCCAATTCTGTTTTACATGAATTTTTTTATTGAATTTATATAATTGAAACAAAAACTTTTTTTTATATTTAATTTTATTTTAAAAAAGTTTGGGACAGTCTGGATGCTCTTAAATAAAGATGTCATTGCACTGCAATGCATCTCATTGTAATTGCTTGACGCACTGTCTACTTAAAATCATATTTGGTCTATTTTTATGAAGTTAAACATGAAATTAAAAATGTATATGAATTTTCCTGTCTGACTGACGAGTGAACATTTTGAGACTCAATCCAACAAAGCACCCATTGTTGAACAATCAAAGGCGCTTTTCAGTACTGCATGCTTAGCCAGATAGCAGTACTTGTTTAATGAGATCAACTCACACTACTTGCAAGATCAAACTTATCATGAGTGAGTGACTCTCTAGTCTTATATAGTATACAAGGTTATTATTCGTTATTTTGCCTGAACATTTGCATAATCGTTTTGTCTACGTTGTTCAAAGGGGCATCATTTGATTATCTAACTTTGTAAGAAACTTGCATTATGCAAATTTGGCAACATACATTCAGCCGCAAGAGAAAATTATATATAAAGGGTGACTTTGGAGGGTGGATGGTGGGGAATGTATTTGAACTACTGATTAGTTGTGCATGTTGTGATACAAGTATGACTGCATCACACTGCACTCTGATGC